ACTTTAACATGTGAATACTTCAGCTGGTAGCCCAGAAATAGAACAAAATGTTTTCATACAAAACGTTCAATCGGTTCGCTGACCCATTTGGCAGTCAAAACAGTTGACGTTGAACACTGCAGCTTGAACCCATTTCATTACTTCAGTTAAAATCAAGTAAAATAACAATTCAGTGGACATTATGCGAGTAACAGAGCAAGGGTACGCTGCCACCCCATTCAAGAGATTCTAAACAACCAATTTGTGAAAATGCCGCTCCACTCTTTGTGCGAGCGAGCTGCCCCATCATATAGTTTTCAGCTCCAGTTTTAAATGTATTTTGTCTCACCAGGTGAGAGGAAAATAGACCATGATGAGTCACTTGCAAGAGTGACCTGGGGCATGAGCCTGCTAGTAAGGGGTGGGGGGGGGGGCGCAATGAATGCACAGCATATTCCCAATTGAGCGCGATTTTACAATTTGGCAAATTTCGACCCTGGAATGTAGAATCATAGGAGACACAATTTCGATTGGTGAGAAAAGCGAATGGGCAGGACACATTGCGATAAGGGATGGCGGCCGACGGGATGAGAGACTGGTGACGGAATGCTAGAATGCGCCAGAGCAGACGAGAACCAGAGATCAGTGCAGGTGCGGGAGTGAGATCAATCGTGGCATCGCAAGAGCACAAGGGATGGCAACATCCAACAGTGTACAGACAATGGCGAATGATGTCTTATGCGTAGGCTTTTACAACCAATGTCATTATTCACAATTAGTTACTTTTGGCTGAGGTCATGTGGGTATAATGGAAATTTTCAGATATACCCTCTGCCAGTTCGGCAGAGCCAATCATAATAAATTGTCACCTCGGCAAATATGTCAATCGATTTGGGTTTTCAGCAAATAGGGACGCTGAAAAGCCCGCAAAATGTTGATGATTACATCCGGCATAATCAGGTGTTAGCAGAAGCTCAGTCTATATGAGAGCTGAGCTGAGCTTCTGTTAACACCGAAGGTTGAAATAATGAATTAATTAGATGTATGCTATCTTGATTTGAAGATTTCGTGACTGCAGGAATCCATACATTCTTTCGGTAAAGTCACATTGGTATAAAATTAAATAAATCATGACGTTTCGATCGCAACACAAGCGACCGTCATCAGGTGGAACAGATACAACAGGAGAACTCTCAGATACAGCAGGATGACTCATCCTGCTGTATCTGAGAAAAAAATGTAAATGTTCCTTTTTTGGTCAGAGTGCTGAACTGGCATTGCCGAGGCCCTGAGTACATACCAGGTAAGCTGCCTGTGACTAAAGTGAGTTCTAAAGTGTCATGAGTTCATGGTCTCAGGCTGGTCCCCGATGACGGCACAACCAAACGATCTATTATGAAAGCCCGGCGTTCTGTTTGTCCGTTGGTCCATCAATTGAACCATAAGGGCCTTTCAGAGGGCCTGAATCAAAACGTTATAGAAAGTTGACCCCCCCCACCTCCCCTCCCCCCAGATGTGGAGGTAAAAAGGTTACCCAACAGGGCTTTTCACTCCCCACTCCCACAAAAAAGAAATATTTTGTAGGGCATATTTTCCTACACACCCTACGTACAATCGAATCTGTAGTATCTGCACACATCGGGGGGGGGGGGGGGGGCGGTGAGAGGACATCAGTGGGGGCGACGGGTGAGAAGTGCTGAGGAGCCCTCCGCAGGAGCTAGAAAAAGATGGCCTTAGGCCGCCAGAATTCTAGTTACATTAAATTTGGGTCCAACTCTGACAATTTAAAAATCTGCTTTGTCCGTCACGAGACGAACGTCATTACCGTCACGTGGCAAAGCGGGTGGGGTAACGTGCTGCGCCCTCGACTGTGTAAACCGGAGGTCAATTGTATTGACCTCAGAGGTAGCTCTGTGATATCTGCTTCCATGAACTATTCTCTAATGTGAAGGTATGCACTGGTCTGAAGGAGGAGAGATCAGGATAGGATACTTCATCTTATGATACGGTGCCAGTAGCAGCACAATCAAGGATACATTTTAGAAAATAATGACACAAAATATACGTAGAAAAATAAGGGTTTCCCTTCCTGTTGCCATTAGCTAAACATCAGGGAAATATATAATATGTACTTAGACACAGAATCCAGGAGCCATCGACTAAAGAAGAATAGTGAAAATACAATTCACTGGTTTCAGGATCCCCGCTTTGATATTTGTGCATAGATGAGATCCAGAAACATAGGCAATGCCCTGATTAAAACGGGGACTTAGAGAATGAGGTGTCATCCAACGTAGCTGGACAATGATAAACACAGAGCTGAAAGAAAAAAAAATTATACAAATATATTTTGAACATTCGCCTCTTTACCGAAATCCATCACGGGCAAAACGATTTACAATTTCATTTGGCTTCTGTTATGGATTTGGTATTGGGTTGACGTAAGATGCGGATGAGAGGCGTTCCATTTAATTTCGTCGATCAATATTAATTTTGAAATTGGATCACCATATCTGGCGCGAGGCCGAAGCCAAATGTGCAACACCAAGCGTGTGCCAAGATTAAGGGCAGAGGCGGCTGAGTAACGTTGGCAAAGTCACATACGTTGTCGTGACAGAGCATGGCGCAGAGGGTGGCGGACCCCTTTGTAATGCGAAAGGTTCCGTGCGACTTACATTTCGACGACGGGCAACAGTGGACAACAGAAGCGTTTAATTTTACACTGGCCGAATAACTTTGATGCGTCTGCACGTGTGCACAGTTTGTCTATTGGCCGGCCACGTGTGGTGTGGTAAAGTACTCGCTAACAGCACTTCCGCCAAAAAACAGTTCAAGCTATAAGGGGAACCTTTGTCGGCGTGAAAGAGTCGACCAAACATAATCTTGAGCTCCCTCTCCAGGAGGCCCTTTCGCCAGCAGTGGGGCAAGACAGCAATTGGCTGGGCTGAACCGTGACTCCCTCTGTGCACGTGCACACTTAACATTTCCCCGTTCCGATGACATACACATCTTCCGATTCCGTTCCGATGATGTACACGTACGTCATCGGTGATGATGAAACTTGAAGAAAAACTATAATAACTTTGTCGGTACCGAGGCTCCCACAAGGCCATGCGGGAGGGCGTGTGGCACAGTTTTCAGCCAGACTATTGTAGGGTGGCGGTCGTGTCGCTACAGTTCTCTGCGGTGAGTACAATGGCTTTAAAAGCAACGGCGCTACGCCTCTCTAAATAAAATAAACGCTGAGCCGCTTGCACGTTCCGAGATTCAGAGGTGAACGGGACCAACACTCTGCAACTTGCAGGCGTCTCAGAACGGGAAAGGGTTCACGTGCAGACAATAAAACGTATTTTTCTGAAGTAGTGGCGGTGCTGGACGAGGATGGAAAAACTGAACTTGACAGATGGCCATCGAGGTTCCACAGTGAATAGATGAACAAGTGGCACACACCGAAGATTGTTGTAATTCACGAGTGGAATTTGGTAGCGCGCCCATCACCATGAGATAGAGCACCCTGATAAGAACTTCCAGCCTTTTGAATTGCTATGCATTAGTACCATAGTAGTGTCTGTAGAAAAAAATAATGGGAGTGGGGGTGGGTACAAATATTGAGAAGGGTAACCAATATGCCAGATGAATGGGTTCCTGTTAGTTCGCCTTAGGAACTGATATTTATGAATATTGGTTCCGATGGGAAAACTAATGTTTATTTGTTACTGGGGGGAAACAACATTACGTGACCACTCGCACTGTCAGTGTATCTCAGTCCTCCCCCCCCCCCCCCCCCCCCCCCCAGAGTAGCAGCTCTGACCAATGAATCCAGCACAGCTCCTTAACAGGGTATGAATCATTCATTTTATGGACAAAATTATATATATTCTTGGTTCTTTCGGTAAAGTCACGTAGAAGGGAAACAATAAAATAATAAAAATATAAAACAATAAAATTCTCACGACGTTTCAACTGAAAACCACAACAAGAAAATCTAATATTATTGCTGTGGTTTTCACACCTGATGATGATTGCTTGTGTTGCAGTCGAAACGTCCTGAGAATGTTTTTGTTTTATATTTTTATTATTTTATTGTTTCCCTTCTACGTGACTTTACCGAAAGAACCAAGAATATGAATCCCTGCAGTCACGAAAGCTTTAAATAAAAAAATTATATATAGCAAGGTGGCTGCGCCCACCAACTTAAGAGGATCTGTCAAATGACTCAGTCTACAATCTGATTGGCCCTCAAACCACAAACCTACAACATTCCCGGTGGGAAATGGATGGATAGAGATTCATTACATTCATCCGATTCTGGGGGAACAAACTTCACACGACACCGACACTCACCACAGTGCATCTCCGTCAGCCGCATTCACAGCTCTGACCACCGACTTGCACCATGACTCTTAACAGGTTGCCGTATATAAATAACATATAAAAATACGTATAAATGCAAGGTGGTCACGTACACCTAACTCAGAACATTCAATTGTCCCCGAACTACGAACCTCTCCAACAAGTGGCGAAATTCACTATCCCTTAGGAATCGATATTCACAATTATTGATTTATAGGGGGGGGGGGGGAGGCAGTGGGGAGGGAATGGGTGAATATTCATTCTGGTCGCTCGTTTCTGGGAGGACAATAAGATCACGACCACGGCACCACGGCAGGCGGCAGGCCCTCACCCCGGTGCATCTCAGGCCGCCATAATTCACAGCTCTGATCAAGTCTCGCAACGGGAGAATTCATTACTCGGGGCGCGATATATATATGTAAAGACATAAAACACGTATAAATACAAGGTGGCCGCGTACAACTGACTCGGAACTTTGAGTTATCCTCGAACCACAAACCTCTGCAACAAGTGGAAAAATTCACTATCTCTTGGGAACCAAAATTGATTGATTTATGGGGAGGAGGAGGAGGGGGGATGAGAAGGGATGGATTTTAATTTAAGTCGCTCGTTAATTGGAGAACAACAAAACCGTGACCATGGCATGGCAAGCGGCGGCGGGCCCTCACCCCAGTGCATTTCGGCGCCGCGGACGCCCGGCTCGGCCACCGTCTCGTACTGCAGCTCGAAGTCGACGATGCGGGCACCCACCGGCGGCTCCAGGTCCTCCCACTCGAGTGCCACCAGCGTGCTGGTGGGCTCCAGCGCCGGCGAGAGCCGCAGCCTGAGCCGTCAGACGCAGAGCGAGGCAACAACCCCCCGGACACCCGTGGGTCAGCCAGTGCCATCGCCCGCAGCGACAAATTCGGTTGGCAGAATTCGTGACGAGATTATGCTGTCAATGGAGCTAGGATTTCGGTGAAGTGTTACATTGATCCTGGTTTTACCAAATTGTATTATCCTGGCTTCGCACTAAGTACTGACTCGGAGCCGGGATAATGCTACCGAGGTAAGAAGACGAGGATTTAGATGAAGTTTTACCTTAATCTTGGTATTACCAAAAGTAGTATCATCCCGGCTTCACACTACAGTGAGGGAACAAAGGAGTGGCTCAAGAAGAAGCACATTAAGGTCCTGGAGTGGCCTAGCCAGTCTCCAGACCTCAATCCCATAGAAAATCTGTGGAGGGAGCTGAAGGTTCGAGTTGCCAAACGTCAGCCTCGAAACCTTAATGGCTTGGAGAAGATCTGCAAAGAGGAGTGGGACAAAATCCCTCCTGAGATGTGTGCAAACCTGGTGGCCAACTACAAGAAACGTCTGACCTCTGTGATTGCCAACAAGGGTTTTGCACCAAGTACTAAGTCACGTTTTGCAGAGGGGTCAAATACTTATTTCCCTCATTAAAATGCAAATCAATTTGTAACATTTTTGACATGCGTTTTTCTGGATGTTTTTGTTGTTATTCTGTCTCTCACTGTTCAAATAAACCTACCATTAAAATTATAGACTGATCATTTCTTTGTCAGTGGGCAAACGTACAAAATCAGCAGGGGATCAAATACTTTTTTTCCCTCACTGTAAGTACTGACTCGGAGACAGAGATGATTGCAGTATAGTCTCAGCTTAATCCTAGTTTACTACCTCTGTAGTATCATCTCAGCTCCGTGTCGGTACTTAGCGTGGACCCGGGATGAAGCTACTGATGTAACAAGCGCATATTTTTCATCTTCTTCGAAATTTTAGTGAAATAACCCGTCGGGCGAAACGACCACGAGTCCAACCTACCGATCGAAGACTGATGTGCGACGACGAGGCGACAGCGGCTCACGAGTCTGAAGTGAAGACTCGATCAAAGAACAACTCTGCACGACTCGCAGCCGCTTTAAAAATGCAGCCACGCGGTATGGGCGATTCACATTTTTGTTTTCATGTTACGCGATGATGTGTGGTGTACAGGCTTACTGGAAGGTTATGGGTAGAGGATGGTGCGATAAACAACTGGATGCTTCACTGACACAAATTTGGGTGTGGTACGAGGCTTATGATGCTTGTAAGTGTGTTGAACTTCTTTCGCGCCGTACGTAGCCGACCGTGAGAAGCGGATGCATGGTAAACGGTTCTGAGTGATGAATATTTGAGTTTGATTTGGTGATGCTGCTGCTGCTGCATTGGTGGCGGTGCACAAGCATGATTAACAAACAACTCAACGGACTCATCATTCACACCGCCAATGTCCCCTTCTTCATCGCTTTCGCAGCATTGATGTGCTACAAAGAAGGGATATTTCCCGAAACTTTACAAGTTATTTAGAACAGATTTTTGTGTTGAGTTTGTCGTATTTCCCCCGCACCTCTGATTGGTATTGTTGGCTATGCACAGTACGAAAGAAGTTCAACTTACAAACAAATATGACTTATTGTTGTTGTTGTTAATACAATGTGTGGTGGATCTTGCTGTCTGAGCGTCGTGTGCAGGAGTCGGGGGGGGGGAAGGGGAAGAGGGAGGGTGGAAGGCAGGAGGAGGGAGGGAGAAGGGAGGGAGGGAAGGCGGGCGAGAGGGGGAGGGAAAGCAGGCGGGAGGGGGGGAGGGGGGTGCAGGGGGAGGGAGGGCAGAGGGAAGGTGGGCGGGAGGGGGGGGAGGAGGGGTAGGGGGCATGGGGGGGCACATACGTGGGCCGTGGCAGGGGGGCGCAGTCGGGGAGGCCCTGGTGGTCGAAGGCATCGGGGTCACAGCGGCACCAGTTCCCCACGACCTCGCCGCGTCCCGAGCACCAGGCGGCACTCTGCATGGCCGTGCGGCACGCCTGCAACGCGAACGGCAACGACAGCAAGCCCCGTCGTTATCCGCCACCCCACGATGCGCCACGCCGCCCCAGCCGCCCGTTTAAGTCTCTCCGTCCGTGTCCCCACGCAGGTTCAATCGGCGGGCGAGCCGTGCGGGGAGGGTCGTCTGCCCCCCACGGGTTAAGAGTCCGTCATCGGTCTGCCGGCGGGGAGCGCGCTGCCCAGGGGGCAGATTGCATGCCCTTTTCGCACGTAATGAGAGGCCGGACAAATGTGGGCGCTGCCCTATTTCAATTAAATCGGAATTGATTTTTTAAAAAAATGCAAGAAAAATGTCTTAAATTAGCCACTTGTGTATTTTTCGTACATTCACTTTCAAATATGTGACCGCAATTTTTGCATTTTTATTACTAAATAAATATACATTTTCAAGCACATTTTAGCTGGGGCAGAGCCCCAATGCTCCACACGAACGCCGGCCCCTTCGTGGATGCTGCTCCTTTCAATTGGCGGCCCTGAGCTGGTGTGGAAATTCCACGTTATCGTCGTGGCGGCCAGTTTCTCCATAGGACGACCGGCGCAAGAGACATTAAACCAAAGGAATAGGACGACCAGTGTGGGTTGGTAAAGAGGAACGACCGGGACCCAGCCCACAGATATCACTGGCAACTGATGTTAGCCACGGCGGAGAAATAAACACGGGTCAGTGGCTTCGGAGTGCGGTGCCACTAACCCACTGGACCTCTTTGCCTCATCATTTGTTGTGTTCAGTTTGTTGTCCCCCCGCCCCCGCAACTCCGGTTAGCACGGCTGGCCACGTACGGTGCGAGAGATTGTTCAACATACGCACGTCCATCACGTCCCATTCAGTGAGCGGCCGCCCACAAGGAAAAACAAACATTCACGCTCCGCGGGGTTGAAACCCGAAACGGCAAAAGCGCACGCGCAAAACGAGCGCGCAATTCAATTACTTCCTCGTGAGAGTCTCGACCAAGAGGGATGTAGCCTTTGCTTGCAGGGAGGCCTCTTCGGCGCGGCCTCTAATGTGCGGCGCGGATCAATGCCGATGGATTTTGCGGGCGCGCGAGGCTCCGACTCAGCCACCGCGTTGGTTCACCCCCCCACCCCGCTTCACGTCGTGGGTGCGGGATCATCCGAGGCCGCCGCCGCCGCTGCGGGAGAGCGAGCGGGGGGTGACCCCTCTCTCTCCTGGAGGAGAGGACAGGGCGCTAACTCGATAACGTCGTCCCCCCTGCTACCCGCAACGCGGCAGCCTCGGCCTGTGCCGGCCGCACCTGGAGCAGGGGACGGAGGTACAGGGGTCGCTCCGGAAGGGCGCCTCACTGGCTAGGAGATGTTGACTACCTCGCCTGGTATACAGGAGGTCGTGGGTTGGATCCCGACCCTGACGCCTGTTGCTGTATATTTGGAGTTTGCGGTGTCTCTATCTCTCTCATCATCATCACGGTGGCTAGGAGATGTTAACTACCTCGCCTGGTATACAGGAGGTCGTGGGTTGGATCCCGACCCTGACGCCTGCTGTATATTTGGAGTTTGCGTGTCTCTCTCATCATCATCACGGTGGCTAGGAGATGTTAACAACCTCGCCTGGTATACAGGAGGCCGTGGGTTGGATCCCGACCCTGACGCCTGCTGTATATTTGGAGTTTGCGGTGTCTCTATCTCTCTCATCATCATCATCACGGTGGCTAGGCGATGTTAACTACCTCGCTTGGTATACAGGAGGCCGTGGGTTGGATTCCGACCCTGACGCCTGCTGTATATTTGGAGTTTGCGGTGTCTCTATCTCTCTCATCATCATCACGGTGGCTAGGAGATGTTAACTACCTCCCCTGGTATACAGAAGGTCGTGGGTTCGATCCCGACCCTGACGCCTGCTGTATATTTGGAGTTTGCGGTGTCTCTATCTCTCTCATTATCATCACGGTGGCTGGAGATGTTAACTACCTCGCCTGGTATACAGGAAGCCGTGGGTTGGATCCCGACCCTGACGCCTGCTGTATATTTGGAGTTTGCGGTGTCTCTATCTCTCTCATCATCATCACCACGGTGGCTGGAGATGTTAACTACCTCGCCTGGTGTATAGGAGGTCGTGGGTTGGATCCCGACCCTGACGCCTGCTGCATATTTCTCTCATCATCATCATGGTCTCTCGGAGATGTTAACTCCTTCGCCTAGTATGCAGGAGGTTGTGGGTTCAATCCCCACCATGATAAAGCCTGCATATTTTGAGTTTGCATGTCTCTCTCCCCATGGTCGCGTGGATTTTTCTCCAGGTGCTCCGGTATTTCCCTGCAAATTTAGAATCAACGTGCGTTTTGTGTATTTGGCTGCATTAGATTTCCACGGGACGATGTGCCACTTCGTCGTGAGCTATCATTGGCGGCCAGTTCGCGCCTGAAAGAGAGCTACGTAGCTCAGAGGGCCTTACCCGGTGAAACGAAGAATAGTTTCGTTTTAAAGGCGGCGAACGTTGAACCAGAGGGCAGAACCAGGGGAGGGGCACGGCACTCTCTCGCCCCTCTCTTACCGGTTCCCTTTGCTGAGCTACGGCCTACATCGCTAGGGGGTTAAGCAGCCGATTATTTTTGTGAATGACCGCCGGGGAGGACTTCGCGGCCGTACTGCTGCGTGGCGTCGCGGTGCTGTTCGGTGCGGGGTCCGACGTTTCCGTCCACATGCCCGGGAGCTTCAGCAGGAACTTGAAGAAAGAATGCCAGCGGTATCTCCTGACGCTTGAATTGGAAAGCTTTAAAGAGGGTTCTTGCAAAATGTTCGGATGAAGAGGCTGATAATATGATGAAGGGTGTGGTAAGAAATTATGGCTTCATAGTGTGTGTGTGTATATGTATGTCTATATACATATTGTGCAGTAGATAGCGCACTCTGCTACTATCCTGAGGACCTGGGTTCAATCCCTGCTTATGACCAAAAACAGTGGCGAATGTTTTAACCGGTCCTGGGCATCTCCTAGGTTTACTTAGCCTCAAATGAGTGCTTCGTGTGGTGTGTAAAGATTAGCACTGGCTGGGCGTGGGGCTGGCCACCATAAATAAGTCAACACATTAGAAATTAGGAAAGTGTTCATGAACTCTTCAAACTTAGTCAACTCTTGAAAATGCGTATGTAAATCTTCCAATTGTTCCAGAAGTGTTTCATAAAAAAAAAAGAGTTAATGGACATTTAAATTGCACTCCTAATTTACTCTCTTACGGACGCCTCTTTTTACCTAACAATGATCTACTACGATGGTTGTCGGCTTAATTGCGGCAGCTCATGCAGCAGCACACGCGGGCAATGCTTTTCGCGCAAGATGATGAACAGCGACGGCTCGGGAAAAAATATCAGCCGAGAATCGTGGTCGCTACACTGACCCCTGCACTGGCCACCAGCGGTTCCCAACAATCTCTGATATGTATTTTTTTTGCTCTCCTCCTGCTCAACGCCCTGGCTCTTAGGCCACGTCGTTAACGAGTGAGAGCACACGGCTGCGTTGAAGCTTTCCAAAAAGCTCACAAATCACGGTGGCTGGATGTTAAATACCTCGCCTGGTGGACAGGAGTGCGTGGGTTCGATCCCAACCCTGTTGTCCGTATATTTGGAAATTTCGTGTCTCTCTCTCTCTCCCCATGGTTGCGTAGATTTTTCTCCATGCCCTCCGGTTTATCCCTCCACATTTAACATCAACATCGCGTTCATAGTATTTGGCTGATATAAATGTCTACAAGATGATAAGCCACTTTGTTGAAAAAAACCGATATAGCTTAGTGGGCCTTACCTGGTAAAATACAATTTTAAAAATAGTTTACTTTTAACAGTTTATGGTTTATTCGAACAATGGCGGCGCTAGATATACTAACACAAGGAGAAGTTTAGGGCCCCAAGCAGCTCATGGGGGGGGGGGGGTGGTCCCAGTCTCAAATTAAAATCCTAATAAACATCACGGACACTTTCGTTTGTGGGGATTGCTGTTCAAATTACCGCTGAGCTCAGACAATGATAGCGCGTTAATGAACACCTGTACACGTGACGGTTTAATCCGAGGCTATATATCGAGTGGTGGAGAATTACACACCAAAAATTTAGCCAGATCATTATCTGGCCAAACCAGAAAATCAATTGCAAATTACAACAAGCAAATTAACATGAAAAAAAGCCAATTATTCTGCTCTATCTGGGCCGCTTCTCTCTTTTAACTTTTTTTCAAAAAGTATCTTATCTCATTACATCTAGGTATCTTTCCAATGTCACTCTCTCGTAGTCTCGAAATGGGGAGCGCCAAAATAATTTCTGATAGTTATCACTGAGGGCCCCCCACAATTGGTGAGCCACTCACCACTGGGATGCTCACACGATAGCTTGGCTGGTCAGCAAGCCCTCTCTCTGTGTAGTTTAACACGTAGGCTTTCGCGACCAATATTATCCATAAAATAGTTTTTTGGGTTAGATCGCGTAAATATTTACGTGCTCTCTCCATTTAAACCCTCTCTTAGGCGTGGTTGTTTTTCTCTCTCCGGATTCCCCCCAGTCGCTTCCCACGTGAGGCCAAACCGCCCTCGAATACATTTGGCCAAATAAATGTCCCTCTTTTAACATTATTATTGTTGTTGTATTGCAATAGGAGCTCGGTGCAGAGCACAGACCGTGCCGTGAGGCGGTGGGGGGGGCGGGGGGGGGAGTACAGAAACTCCGCGGATCTCAGCTCCGAATTTTATGCATCTGGGTTTAAATCAGGGGGGAACGTGGGCTCGCCGCCCCACCGAGCGGGAACCACGAGCGGGGTGTGTGTATTTTTTATATGGAGGGGCAAAGGAGAGGGGGGGGGGAAGAGAGGGAGGGGCAATGTTAAAAGGAAAGGGAGGAGCACTGAAGATAGAATAACTTACACGCACATTGGTCAACTTCTCAACCCATCATAGCCCCCCAGCCAAAATGTCCCTCTTAAATACGAGTCTTGAGATTCGGTGAGGCTTGCCTGGGTAAACAATGCACATCATTGTTAAATGGCACTATCATATTTACTACGACTCCTGTAATTTTTATATATATATATTTCACGTACAGCGTCGTGGGATGCAATTAGCACGAATTCCGCCGTATACATAAAATCATTTCCATTGCTTCTGCGGCTTCTAATGGACGTGAGCACTGCTCCACTGCTGAACAGTTAAAGGGACACTTTGACCTTTGCAGTCACAACTGCTTCAACTCAATGCCTGCCACGAAACATGTGCCACAATCCAGCAGCTAATAACATCCATTTGGATTGTATACCATGGGCTGTGGTCTGTCAATGGCGCAGAACATTTCCCAATTATAATTTGGAGGAGGAGGTGCCGCAATAGAAAATGATGCACATCTACATTTGCAATGTCCATTAAAATGGCGATTGTCTTGTTTCCACGCATGACTTTAAAGCAGAGCACATGTGGGGCATAAAACTACTACGCACAAGCAGGTGAGAGTGGATTTTATTTTGCCCTAAGAGCAATCATGATGAACGCGGCTCATACGGCGAGGGTTGGAATATCAGGCGGACTAAGTTTCTACTCAGAGACGGCAAATGAACCTTATGGCGGGACCCCGGGGTCCCACAAGCCACCGGCTCTCGCATAAACTGCGTTGCGACGTCATTTTATGTCTGTTGAAGGCGAACGACACGGCGATCTATTCCTCTCCACGAGCTCTACACGATGCGCTAATCAAAGTTTAAAAGTCTTGTTTATGACTACGGACGTTCGTCCTCGCCGCTGCGCTTGGACGACGACACGACAACAGGATGATCCGCGCCGGGTGGGTCACGGCGTTTATGTGCGCGGTGGGACGGAGTCGCCAAGATAAATAAATTCATTAATATTTCGACTTCCGGTTATTCGGGACCCCGGGGTCCTGCCATAAGGTTAATTATTAATGATTTAAGGACACTTTCGTGGTGCAGCGGTCAACGCACTGGACCTACAACCTCAGAGGTTCGCGGTTCGCTGCGATCTCACGGCGCGGCAATTGAAACAACGGAACACGTTTCCGAAATCCCCCCCCTGCCCTCTGTGCAGCTCGCCGCAGCGCGATTTGGCTCGCTATCGTGGGCGCCATGGTGCCGAGGTGTTAGCTACCTCACCCGATGTACAGGAGATTGTGGATTCGGTCCCGACCCCGACCCCGACGACGCTTGTTGTAAATGTGATGCTTGCACGTTCTCCCCGTGGTCGCGTGGATTTTTTCTCCGAGTCCTCTGGTTTCTCCCTCCACGTTTAGAATCGACGTCACGTGCGCGCTTCCGAGTATTTGGCTGCTGCACATTCGCACTTGATGAGCCACATCGTTGAGCTGTCGCTTTGTGACCGGGTCGCTTATGAAAAAATAGCTCCGTAGCTCTTGGTCGGCCTGACCCGGTTGAAAAAATATTATAATAATTGGCAGATGGTCGAACGCATTGGTGAGGTGTGGTGGCATCAGCGGCTTTGCCCACGACAACATCTTAATCTTCATCACGACCTGTTTATTCCCAAGGAAGATCGCGCCGTGACCAGTCCTCACTGCTAGAGGTTCCAGCCAATGATCCGATCGAAATCCCTCATTTCGATCTGATCATTGGGGTTTATTAGTAATAAATCGGCATTTTGCGACCCCCAACTGCCACTGTGTAGCATATTATTATGTGCCAGGGACTCTATGAGATGATAGGACAATAGTCTGAGTCCATAATTGGCAATAAGTAACGGCAAAGCGGTTATAAGTGACTCAGAATTGTGCGCAGTTGCGCATACAGTCCACGACTTCCCTGAAGGCATTCACCTTCAGCGAGCGCGATGCCGAATTCGACCCTCGATCGATGGATGCGCCATCGCAGCACACGCGTTATAATAAAAAGCAAGGGACAAGTCCTTAGCTACTAACAACTCCTAACATTTTTCATTGCTGGAGGGGTTGCCCTCCCTACCTATTCCTCCTCCACCCTCTCACCCCCTCACCCCTCTCACCCCTCCTCCCGCCCGGCGCGTTTCTCACCTCCCGCGTGCGATTGTCGTGGAGGAGTTCGCAGACGGAGGACGTCCTCGCGGCCTCGAGGAGCACGGGCGTGGGGCCAGCGACGTGCGGCTGGCCATGCTCGGCGCAGAGGCTACACGACGGTGGGCAGCCGCCCTTCTCCCAGCAGCTCATCTCCAGCCCCGGGATGCCCGAGCCGTCCCCGGCACCTCCGCCGCCGCCGATGCCGCCGCCGGCCAGCCCCGAGATGTACGCCGCGAACGACGTATATTTGGGGTCGCGGCCCCGGTGCGTCTCGCCGCCGGACTCATGCATCACTTCCGGCCCCGGCGGGGGGGGGGGGGGGGTGGGAACAAAAAACGGAGATTCCATCGACTTCTTTCCACGAATGGACCACGAATCCTTGCAGCGGTGGCGGCTTTTTAGCTGGCCGCCAAACAAAGATGGCGGTCACCGCGTCGCGCGCTTTCAGATGCGCTTCTGCGGCGGTCTGGAACGCTCTTCCTTCCCATATTAGTCAATACAGTTATGCCCTTTATAATCATCCGAGATTGAAAACTAATTTCTTTAGAACTTCTTTTTGTGTTTACTTTGTTGTCCGTCCTCCGCGCCTCCTATTAGCAACGTCGCTATGTACCTTGCGAAAAAAGTTCAACACACATGCATTCAATGACGATGATGGCCTCAGCAGGATGGGGGCGGTGAGGGGGGAGGGGCGAAACGTCGGACGTCATTCTGAACAACACGTGCCGCATTCTGAAAAGACGGGCATGGCGTTGCAGGAGGTGGCTCAAGTACACGCCGCTTCGTCAGCCATTGCTCATACTCCTGCGTATGTGTGTGCGGGTTGTGCCTGTTACGGCTCTCTGGGCATGTTTGGTTTTCGGGTTTGGACCGCGTGTTGTTCGTCACGGTGTCCCATCCAGTGCACGGAGCGGCACATCGGAATACCACGCAGTACAGTATGAAAACGTACTAGAGAGCTGTACAGCCACGACCGCACAAACAAAAAAACAACAACGTAGGAGTATCACAAATGTGTGGCAGAGTGCATACTTGTCGTGTAGTTTAACGACATCTAGTAAATCGTGTGCAATATTTCAAAGTTTGCCAAACTTGGATCGTGATGCCAGCACACGTGGCCAGACTTTTTTTTTTCATCTTTAATGCTCACTGCGATGCAGACGGCACCACGTGGTATTAACCGGGGCAGCAGGCCGCCACGGCTCGAACCAACGAAACGCCCGCAAGGAAGCCGTCACGAGCGGCACACACGCGCACGCCGTGGATACGATTCGTGGCGAAAATAAACGCGGTGTCATGAAAACGAGCGAGCACCTCCTGGATGGCACGGCGAAAGGCACGGCGGGCCCGTCGACCGATGGATGGCTGCATCAGCTGATGGGAGGGACAGGTTGGTGGGGGCAAGAGGTAGTGGCGTACGTCACTTTTTTTTTAATGAAACAACAAGGTGGGCACGTAACGATGCTTTAGATGACAAACTCGGGGCCTCGCGTACGTCACTTTTCAAGGGAGACGGGACTCAACTCATGGACACGTGCGGTGCTCGAACTGACGGCCGCTCCTTTTGGCTATCCGCAGCTTGACGAATGAAAACGGTGTGGGAATCACACGTGAATTAAGCATGGCGTGCAGATTAAGGGCCCCCTCTTTTGATGTTGTGTAAACATCTGCGAGCGAGCGGTACGTTGCATGCGGTCCCATTACAGTTCCATGCAGCTGTATTTATGCGACGAGCCAACTGGCACGGGCACGGGCTACAGTGGACAAAAAAAATTGTATGTGGAGAGAGAAAAAACTGGGCCTACGTCAAACTCAAAAAATCATGAAAGAATTCTAAAATGTAATTCTAATCCCACAGCCAACCCCCCTCCGCCCCAAGCCAGTATAAAGACACGCTGCAATTAGATGTCGCAATAATAATAATAATAATGTAGCAATGTCAAAGCTTCTCCCGCAAATATCATGCCCATAAAACAAATTGGCATATCAAACTTTTCAGGCAAAAGTTGGCGGCGAATATTTAGGAGACATTTATTGTGCGCGAACGTACAGACTTGTACACGCACACACACACACACACATATACAGATGAGCGTGTACACATATGCAGATACATTCATACACACATACATATACAAGATAAAGACAATGATCTGTCATATAGCCTGAATCGACTTTTGGGGCAGGTGCTGCTAGCAAGTAACTATGAAGGCTGGCATGGCACACGAGGTGGTGGGTGGCCAGCACCACACCCGGCTGGCTTTGTCTCCTGAGTGGCGATGTTTGCACATCGCACGAGATAATCATTTAAGGCTGAGTCAAACTAGCGGAGGCCCAGGACTGTTTCAGACAATCGTCACTGGTGTTGGCCATGAGCGGGAATTGAACTGAGTGGCGATGTTTGCACATCGCACGAGATAATCATTTAAGGCTGAGTCAAACTAGCGGAGGCCCAGGACTGTTTCAGACAATCGTCACTGGTGTTGGCCATGAGCGGGAATCGAACTCAGGTCGCTGGGTTCGCAGCGAAGTTCCATACAAACTCATGCACACACACACACACACTTTTATGCCGACTCACACACAAAGAGACAGCGACACACTCTCACACACCGCCTTGCACAAGTTGTGCGATGGTGGGGGCCATGAGAGGGAAAGTTACATTTCAGGGGCAAGAGATGATGGCATGTGCAATTAATCAGGATGGTGGAGCGCTCCCATCCATCGCGACTGTCCCGGGCAAAGACTGATGAACTAGGCACTTAATAAAACCAACGGCTCCTGCCGTTAAATGTGAGGTGCTTCGCTCATCCTGCCTCGGAGCAACACAAGGCAATACATAATACCTGGCCTGTCTGCGTGATGGGCGGTAATGTCATTAAAGGCTGGCACCCAGGAAAGGAATGTTATTACCTGGCAGTGAATGTTATTTACAAGGTGGCTTTGGTGTTGCTTGGCCAACCACCAGGGACTGCATTATTGTCTATGCGGGCTCACTCAAGAGTCAAAGACGGAGAGAAAAACCCCTGCCACACGTCGTTCTGATCGGTGATCGGTCACTGATATAATCAGTTGGTCGCTGATGTCACCGTATACTGGATGGTAAAAGTGCATGAGGACTCACAATTGCTTGATCTTGCTGCCGCCTGCGGAAAGGGGCCTCCGCTAAAGTGAACTCTAGTTGGGTATTTGGCCTACTCTTCCACATCGACCCAGACGCGTTGGAAGAGGCAGGCATACCCACACTTTCCCCCACCACATATGATCTGCCAATCGACTTAACCGCAGTGCACCCATTGTCCGTCCGGTGATCCCTTAGCTGCATTTGGTTCCGGTTGCCGAATGAAAACATTATAAGGTCGCACTCATTGCACACAAAGTGTTTGCCACAAATGAACCACGGTACTTTGCCGATTTCTTCACGGAGTATAAACCATCACGCATACGCCGGTCGTCTTCGCAGCGGCTTTTGGATGGCCATCAAACAAAGGCGGTCACCGCATCGCACGCTTTCAGAGGCCATCTGGAACGCTCTTCCTTCCGATGTTGGGAAGCCACTGAAGCTTAGCACTTTCAAATGATCTCGGTTGAAAACGAATTTCTTTAGAACTGCTTTTTCGTGTTTCGTTTGCTATCCTTCCCCCGCACCTCCGATAAGCACGGTAGGCTACGTGCAAGTGCGAAAGAAGTTCAACGTACACACAAACAACTATTTACACAAAAGGGTGGGCAGAGGTGGTGGTGGCGGCAGAGCGGAGAAGTCGCGGTGGGGGGGATTAAGAAACTTGCCCCGTTGTTCCGACTGCCGCACCGGCAGATGGAACTGAACCAGCGACCTCTGGATTGCAAGGCCAGTGTGCGGCGAAACATTGCGGCTCCTTGAATCAATGTAATAGCGATGACGTAATTCCAACAGGGGATCAAATATCAATGCGATGTTCTTATATTGTCTTTTGCTTTTAATGTATTTTTCTCCCCCCCCCAATCCCCCTTCCCTCGGTCTTCCGACTAGTGTCGGTTACAGGACGTAACTCCTTTGTAAAGGGCACCACCACTGGATAACAACATGGATTTCACATCCTGTTGGATGCACAACATATGTGAAACATTACACCTGCGTCACAGTAAATGACACGGTTTACATCACCCCGCGACGTGCAGGTGTCCCCCCCCCCCCCGACGGAAACCAGGAACGTCGAAACGTCAATCCGGCCGTGTTATATTACAAGCACAAATATACAAGCTGTGCACGCATGTTTTAATTCCTAAACGAGAAATTTGATTAACGTCTGGCGTTGGCCCACTGGGAAACGCTCCTCTCAGTCATTCACACCGACCCAACGCATCTGCGCCAAGACCAACATACAAGGCCCTTCCTTATTCGTTATCTCATCTCACTCTACTCCACTGTGCTCAATCTGCTACCTGTCCCCTCTCATCTCACTCCAATTCCCATCCCGCACTCTCCTACCTCTGCCCTCCACATACGTTCCTACCACTCTCCTCTCATCTCACTCTACTCCTCCTCCACACTCTCTCTGCTCCAGCAACCACAGCTTTGTATGGAATATCCCATTCAACCTCCACCGTGGAAGGTCGCTTATCTCTTAAGACTGCCCCGATATTCTGAAACTCCCTTGCCTCCCAGCCATCTGTGTTGTCGACTCCATGTCCCTCTTCAAGTCCAGGCTCAATCCAGTCTCTTCGAAGATCCCTCTGCTTATGACTGACTGACGCTTTTCTATCAAATAAATACGTCCACTGTATCTGTATGGTCGCCATGGTGGCGAGATGTTGACTGCCTCGACGGATATACAGGAGGTCATGGGTTCGATTCCGAACCTGACGATGCCTGCTGTATATTTGGAGTTTGCATGTTGTAACCGTGGTTGCGTGGATTTTTCTCCTGGATTAAAAGCCAATTCGTTGAGCTATCACTTGTGGCCAGGTCTCTCATGAAAGAAACATTGGTTTATATCTCCGTGTTCCTTACCTGGTAAAATTAAAACAATTGTTTAGTTTAAATATTTTTAGTTCTAAGATGCATTTGCACTTCTACAGAATGTAAATCCAAATTGTCACTGCATTGAATACAATTTTGCTTCCTAAAAATGTACAGATGGAAGAGAGCTGTGAAGACACGAGGGGACAGAAAGGGAGATTTGTACATGACTCAAGTTTAGACAAGTGACAAAACATTTGGGATTGTAGACAAATCAACACAACATCCCCTTCTCCCTGACGTAATGGTCAGCCCACAGGACTTGCAACCCAGAGGTTCGCCAGTTAGATTCCATCTCCTGGCGTGGCAGTTGAAAGAATGGTGACAATGTTATTGCCTCTGTCCACCCGCAGTAACGGCAGTTAGTCGACTGGCAGGTTGCGTGTGGTGGTGGGGTAAAACGTGGCTACACTCGAGTGGATACACTCGACCGAGAGTGTATCCCGTTTGTGCCGGAGTCTCGGAATATCGATGGCAAAGACCAGGACAAAGAGACCCTCCGGGAGGAGCTCTCTGGAGCTCAACGTTTTGCATGCTGAGCTTCTTTCGCACCGCGCGCAGAGCCAACCCTGCCGACCGGGAGGTGCGGCGAGCTCCCTCGAGCAGTGACGCAGGGACGCGCTTGCAAGGCCTGCACCTTTAACCCCCTTCACTCATCACGCGCGCGCGCGACAATGAGAGACGACGGCGTGCGACAAATCAATGGCAGTTCACCCGTCGGTGGGCGGCACTGCCGCTTCTCCCCCCGCGCCATTCGGCTAATGTCACCTGATGTCACCTAATGTCACCTGATGTCACCTAATGTCACCTGCGCTGGGCGGCATCTGTGAGGATTTACCGTCTTGGACGCAGTGGCCCCGGTCGCGTCCCCCCCCACCCACCACGCCAAAGCCCGACAGCCGCGCACCTCGCCTCGCTCGCACACCTCACCCCATGCGACCCTCTCCGTCTGCCCTCTTGTCTCCCTCCCTCCACTCCTTCCCCTTCTTCGCCTCCCTCTACTTACCCCCTGTTTATCTCCCTTACTCCACTCCCTCCACTCCATCCATCCACTCATTCCCTCCACTCCCTCTCTCTCTCTCCCTCCTCCACTCCCTCTCTTTTTTTACGATCAGAGGAAACAAGAAGATGCTCGGTGTAGTCGGCACTTTGCTTCGTTCATCATTCGTTTTTTTTCCAATGCTTTGCTTTATGTATCCCCCCCCCCTTTTTAAATGAAAGATTTCACAAAAGATTTCACGCTCTGCTCTCCTCCTTCTTAACCCTTCCCTCTCTCTCTACCCCCTCTCTCTACCCCCACCCCTCTCTCTCGACCCCCTTTCTCCCCACTCTATGTCTATGTTCTCCCTGTTTTCTATGTAATATTTGTAAA